CTATACCAAGGTCTGCCACCATCCAAGGCCTGCCACCATCCAAGGTCTGCCACCATCCGAGGTCTGCCACCATCCAAGGCCTGCCACCATCCAAGGTCTGCCACCATCCAAGGTCTGCCACCATCCAAGGTCTGCCACCATCCAAGGCCTGCCACCATCCAAGGCCTATACCAAGGTCTGCCACCATCCAAGGTCTGCCACCATCCAAGGTCTGCCACCATCCAAGGCCTGCCACCATCCAAGGTCTGCCACCATCCAAGGCCTGCCACCATCCAAGGTCTGCCACCATCCAAGGTCTGCCACCATCCAAGGTCTGCCACCATCCAAGGCCTGCCACCATCCAAGGCCTGCCACCATCCAAGGTCTGCCACCATCCAAGGCCTGCCACCATCCAAGGTCTGCCACCATCCAAGGTCTATACCAAGGTCTGCCACCATCCAAGGTCTGCCACCATCCAAGGTCTATACCAAGGTCTGCCACCATCCAAGGTCTGCCACCATCCAAGGTCTGCCACCATCCAAGGTCTGCCACCATCCAAGGTCTGCCACCATCCAAGGTCTGCCACCATCCAAGGCCTATACCAAGGTCTGCCACCATCCAAGGTCTGCCACCATCCAAGGTCTGCCACCATCCAAGGTCTGACACCATCTGACGCCTATACCAAGGTCTGACACCATCCAAGGTCTGCCACCATCCAAGGCCTATACCAAGGTCTGCCACCATCCAAGGTCTGCCACCATCCAAGGTCTGCCACCATCCAAGGTCTGCCACCATCCAAGGTCTGCCACCATCCAAGGCCTGCCACCATCCAAGGTCTGCCACCATCCAAGGTCTGCCACCATCCAAGGTCTATACCAAGGTCTGCCACCATCCAAGGTCTATACCAAGGTCTGCCACCATCCAAGGTCTATACTAAGGTCTGCCACCATCCAAGGTCTATACTAAGGTCTGCCACCATCCAAGGTCTATACCAAGGTCTGCCACCATCCAAGGTCTATACCAAGGTCTGCCACCATCCAAGGCCTGCCACCATCCAAGGCCTGCCACCATCCAAGGTCTGCCACCATCCAAGGTCTGCCACCATCCAAGGTCTATACCAAGGTCTGCCACCATCCAAGGTCTATACCAAGGTCTGCCACCATCCAAGGTCTATACTAAGGTCTGCCACCATCCAAGGTCTATACTAAGGTCTGCCACCATCCAAGGTCTGCCACCATCCAAGGTCTGCCACCATCCAAGGTCTATACCAAGGTCTGCCACCATCCAAGGTCTATACCAAGGTCTGCCACCATCCAAGGTCTGCCACCATCCAAGGTCTGCCACCATCCAAGGTCTGCCACCATCCAAGGTCTGCCACCATCCAAGGTCTGCCACCATCCAAGGTCTGCCACCATCCAAGGTCTGACACCATCCAAGGTCTGCCACCATCCAAGGCCTATACCAAGGTCTGCCACCATCCAAGGTCTATACCAAGGTCTGCCACCATCCAAGGTCTGCCACCATCCAAGGCCTATACCAAGGTCTGCCACCATCCAAGGTCTGCCACCATCCAAGGTCTGCCACCATCCAAGGTCTGCCACCATCCAAGGTCTGCCACCATCCAAGGCCTATACCAAGGTCTGCCACCATCCAAGGTCTATACCAAGGTCTGCCACCATCCAAGGTCTGCCACCATCCAAGGCCTATACCAAGGTCTGCCACCATCCAAGGTCTGCCACCATCCAAGGTCTGACACCATCCAAGGCCTATACCAAGGTCTGCCACCATCCAAGGTCTGCCACCATCCAAGGCCTATACCAAGGTCTGCCACCATCCAAGGTCTGCCACCATCCAAGGTCTGCCACCATCCAAGGCCTGCCACCATCCAAGGTCTGACACCATCCAAGGTCTGACACCATCCAAGGTCTGCCACCATCCAAGGTCTGACACCATCCAAGGCCTATACCAAGGTCTGCCACCATCCAAGGTCTGCCACCATCCAAGGTCTGCCACCATCCAAGGTCTGCCACCATCCAAGGCCTGCCACCATCCAAGGTCTGCCACCATCCAAGGTCTGCCACCATCCAAGGTCTGCCACCATCCAAGGTCTGCCACCATCCAAGGTCTGACACCATCCAAGGTCTGCCACCATCCAAGGTCTGCCACCATCCAAGGTCTGCCACCATCCAAGGTCTGCCACCATCCAAGGTCTATACCAAGGTCTGCCACCATCCAAGGTCTGCCACCATCCAAGGTCTGCCACCATCCAAGGTCTGCCACCATCCAAGGCCTGCCACCATCCAAGGCCTATACCAAGGTCTGCCACCATCCAAGGTCTGCCACCATCCAAGGTCTATACCAAGGTCTGCCACCATCCAAGGTCTGCCACCATCCAAGGCCTATACCAAGGTCTGCCACCATCCAAGGTCTGCCACCATCCAAGGTCTATACCAAGGTCTGCCACCATCCAAGGCCTATACCAAGGCTACCTCACCAGTAGGCTATCTCACCCAAGGGCTACCTCACCCAAGGGCTACCTCACCAGTAGGCTATCTCACCCAAGGACTACCCAACCAGTAGGCTATCTCACCCAAGGGCTACCTCACCAGTATGCTATCTTACCCAAGGGCTATCTCACCCAAGGGCTACCTCACCAGTAGGCTATCTCACCCAAGGGCTACCTCACCAGTATGCTATCTTACCCAAGGGCTATCTCACCCAAGGGCTACCTCACCAGTAGGCTATCTCACCCAAGGGCTACCTCACCAGTAGGCTATCTCACCCAAGGGCTACCTCACCAGTAGGCTATCTCACTCAAGGGCTACCTCACCAGTAGGCTATTTCACCCAAGGGCTACCTCACCCAAGGGCTACCTCAACCAAGGGCTACCTCACCCAAGGGCTACCTCACCAGTAGGCTACCTCACCCAAGGGCTACCTCACCCATGGCCAACTGTGGAACAGGTTTTTCTCATCAATCAGGCCCTGTCAATGGACGCTAGTTTCTGAGTCAGGCTCTCTGGTCACTGAGCACTCATGTGTATCACACCTGACAACTGACCATTGTAGGTTCCCACCCTGCCTTTAACCATCCAGCCAAGGCAATAATGTCTCCCTATGCTCATTGGAATCATGTGTGGCGTCTACCTGCACGTCGTGAAGTCTACCTGCACGTCGTGAGTAATGGTTTGATGGTGACCTCCAGTGGCATGCCCCAACTCAACTGTAGGCATAAATTACGGCTGTTGCCTTCGCATAGTTACATGTCACTCATGCACCTGCATACAACTCGTAGCCCTTAACGACCAGCGTGTGCCAATAACATTTAATTAATTTAATTAGATTCCAGAATTCCCCTGACCTGCTTATCACGAATATCTTAGGTTAACGTTACTCTTGGGTTGTGGTCAAATGTTTGTAACTAGCACCTGTGGGGACCAAGTGGTCTAGCGGTAGAGAGCTGGACTGCTAACCCATAAGTCTCGAGTCCCTGAGTCCACCCAACTCTGATGGGTATCTAACTCACGTTAGGGAAAGTAAAGGCGGCTGGGCATAGTGCTGACCACACTATCTTTTCATAAGCTGAGGTCACAGAAACAAGTGAACTCTACTTCACTTGCCCTATAGACTGTCAGGTTTTAAAGGAAACTACTTTTTTTTTAACTAGCACCTAGTCACCTAAGCTCTTTTAATAAGTGACCAAGTTACTATTTCATTTTAGAATAAATAGTAGAATACCAGATAATAATTAGATTAGAGATTATTTGTACAGTTATAAAATTAAGTTTTTTTTAAATACCCCCCCCCCCCCCCGCTAGATCACTTATACTTGCTAGTATTATAATTCTATACTTCTGTTATTTGCCTATATAGTTACATATAGTAAGTAATAAGTCTGTATATATTAATATGATCTATGTAATCTATAACTATAATAGTAATGCTAGGACCTATATATTTTGTATATAACATTATATTTTAATATTTATTTATACCAAATTATACCCTATGGCCTATAGATTATAGATTATTATAGAACTATAGACTACTATACTTTACTATGTATAGTATATAGCATAGAATGCCAAAATTAATTTAGGCCTGTCATTACTTTACTATACTAATTTAATAGGCTAAATGATTTATTATTTGTATTATTATCTATTAACTATTAATTGATAATGAGGCTAATGGGCTTTAATGGCTATTGATTAAAATTAATTTAAAATTAATACTAAGTAAGTACTAAGGCCTATGTTTATTATAATTAAATTATTTAACTAGATCTTATAGTGAATTATAGTATTATAGATAGGCCCTATTTATTAGACTTTAGAATTAGATCAATAGATAGATTAGGCTTATTATTTATTATTAGTTAGTATTTTAGTTTTTAGGTAATCTATCGTTTTAGGTATGTAAAATCGCCCGCGGCTAGTAATGTACGAAAAAGTTACCTCATTGTCAAGGCTGTAATAGAAGTATATTGTGAAATTTTTGTGTCAAATATTATAGATAAATGAATAATAAACCTAAATCAATGGCTAAATATATCAATATAGGCTAGAAATTAACTTTAAACTGCAAGCTAGATTTCCTATATAAACAGCAGCCATTTGTAAAATAGAGTGACTTCCGCCTGAATCTTGCGCTTAAGTCTATAAAAATAAAACTTTAACAAGATGGCTGCTATAGTAAATGAGCATGGTTGCATCTGTTGGAAACATCGCTAGTCTTCATTTATTACTGAAAAGTTTTGATTCAATTGTTTAAAAACAGGTACATAAATGAAACAAGGAAACATTTTTGTATTTTTAAAACATAAATCCTTCTCAAAATGTGAAATAATTATTAAAATGTAAGGAGTCACCTGTTTTTCACATTACTAGTCGCGGGCGATTTTACGTACCCAAAACGATAGATTACCAATAAATATTAAATAATAAATAATAAATATGTAGTATTGTAGTTTTTATCAGACTCTAGATCTACACACTATACATTTTATTATATTATACTAACCGATAATAGTTACAGTGACTTAGGGCTGCTAATGTTTTTAGTCTCCATTTGGGTTGTTAAGCCATGACTATTTACTATCGATTGTTTACGGTCAAAGGCTGTGGTTATTTAGGTTGTTGCTAAGGAAGAAGCTGGTCGTTTTAAATACCAAAACGTTCTAAAGTTAAAACAAAAAAATATCCATTAAACAAAATTTAAAATACAAAAAACGGTTGATGCATAATAAACTTGTATAGTGAGTGTGAAAGTTGCGATTGGTGTCAGCCCCCTACCCACCCTGACAGCCCCCCATGTTGCATAATGGCGTCTATTTGTGCACACTAGTCCACTTATTAATGCATCTTTTTCAGAGTTAATTATTAGTTGTGGTGTAACTGCCCCAGGTTGTTGATTAGCGTATCTTTTATTGAAAATGTTTAACAAAACCCTTCTTCCTCTGAAAATGTTGTTGTCACCCCCCCCCCCCTACCACTTGATGAGAGCTTTAATCTGTGTACACATAATACTAATAGTAAAAAAAATTATCGGCCATTTAATACTCTACCGTTAACAAGTTTACGTCATGTGGCATCCCCATCCACTTCTCGGCAGAGTTTCTTTCAGGCATCTCTTCGGGCCGCCCCTCCCTCCCCCGAAAAAAGTCTACCGCCCCCCCCCCCCCAGAACGAAATGAAATGTATATTAAAAAATATATACTTTTAACAGTGTCCGCCCCCCGAAAAAAGTACCGCCCCCCCCCCCCCCTCCGGAGAAAAAAGTCTGGAAGAAACACTGCTTCTCGGGATTCTCATTTTGTAATTAAATTTAAATTACAAGTGAACTAATTAATCATTAATTGAACTGGCAAAAGCATTTTCACAAGCTTTTATTATTACCCCCCACCCCCTTGAACGAAATGGAATTTATATAGAAAACATATGCTTTTACCAGTGTCCGCCGCCCCCCCCCCCCCCCCCCCCGGAAAATGTTGCCCGCCCCCCACGAAAGTCTGGAAGAAGCACTGGAGCTTGTCGATATAGTGAAGGCTGTTACGCTGTTAGGGGCAGATAATAAAGTTTGTAAACAATTTTAAATTAAGGGGAGGTAACAAGATTAAGAACTTGCTATCGTCTGTAAATCTCACGATATAGCGTCGGAAATTATCTGGTAACGTTTGGCGAGTTTCGGTAACAGTTACTGTAAACTATATCTTATATGACCGTTGAAATAAAAATAAAGTCAAGTGCATTAAATCAATGTTTTAACTTTAATTTAAAGTTTAATTGACAGAAAATTAGCAACAAATAGTAACTCTAAATATTATTAATAAAGTCGAATGTAGTAATGTTTTTTTAAGAAACAGAAAAAAACTTGCAGAAGATTTGCGACAACTAGAGAGTCTAGATCTATATGTAGTAAAATAAGACGATTAAATTAACTAAAGTAATAAGAAAGAAGAAGAACAACAATGTTTAGTTAGCAGCAATAATTAGCACATACACTTAAAATAATTAGAAATACAAAATAATTAGCAAAACAGTATTTAAAATGCAACTAAAATCAATCCATGCATATTTTAAAACATCATGTATTAAAAATAATATGGCGGCAAATAAATGATGGTTTACAGTATTTCCCGTAGTATCCGGAACAACTCAACAGACTACGCCATTGTTTTACTGTTTTTGCTGCTGTACAATTCCGGAATAATAACCGACGCTATATCGTGATTTTACATATTGTTCTAGTACTTCTTACTATTTTTAACTTAGTTTACGTTAGTAAATCTAATAGTCTCGGTAATGCCTTAGTTTAGCGTCGGAAATTATCTGGTAATGTTTGTTGAGTTTCGGTAACTAGAGTTACGGTAAACCATGGTTTATTTGACCATTGAAATATAAATAAATTGAAAGTCGATTGTAGTAAATTGTTTTAATTTTTTAAGTTTAATCGACAAAAGGAAACAAGAATAAATATAATAGTAGATTTAAATTAGTAGATCTAAAAATAAAATAAAAACATATATTAATATAAATAATGAAGTCAAGTGTAATAATTTAATGTTTTTGGCTTGCAGCGGATAAGCCGCCATTAATTAATTAGATCTAGATCTAGCTAGCTGCTAGGCCAAGTAAAAAAATCTAGATTACGAAAATAGTCAAAATTATTACAAAGATGTAAAAATGATTACAAAAAGAGTAAAAGTGACTAGAAACGGGGTTCGTACCCTATTTTGAAAATGAAATCAGACCTTTGTAACCACACCAGGGGCGTAGCGAGGGGGGGGGGCGGGGGGTGCGGACCGCACCGGGTGACACCATTTAGGGGGGTGACCCCAAGGCAAAAAATAGCAAAATATATAGAGAAAACTCGAGGGGGGTGCAAATTGAAAGTTTGAGGGGGGGGGGGGGTGTGCAAATCGAAAACTTGAGGGGGGGGGGGTGCAAATCGAAAGTTTGAGGGGGGGGGGGGTGCAAATCGAAAATTTGAAAGTTTGTCCCTGGGAAGGGTCTCTATGCCTCTGGGGGTGACACCATTAAGTGCCGCACCGGGTGACACCCGACCTCGCTACGCCACTGAACCACACCATTATTCGTGCTTTTGGCTGAGAAACGTTTGTCTGTTATTAAAAACTACAGGTATCCCCCCCCCCCCCCACACACACACAAGAGACGGTGGAGGGGTCACTGTGAGGTCACAGTAGCCCAGTGTAATACGTCATATCATGAACTGCACCGTAACTTTTATTCCCCCCCTCCTCCCTCTCCTAGCCAAACAGCACCATCTACCAGTGGCGTAGGCAGGGGGGGGTCATAACCCCCCCATAGACCCCTCGGTATATAGAAAAAGTATGAGGGGGTGCAAATCAAAAGTTTGAGGAGGGTGCAAATCGAAAGCTTGAGGGGGGGTGCAAATCGAAAGTTTGTCCCCGGGTAAAAATTGGAACCCCCCCCCTAGAGACGATCCTGGCTACGCCACTGCCATCTACCTCCAGACTTTTTAAACTCAAGGCTTTTTCCAGACTGCGTACGAACCCTGTTAAACAATGTTTAGTAGCAGAAATATTTAGCTGAAACACTTAAAAATAACTAGTTATACAAAATGAGTAATAAAGCAGTATTTAACACGCAATTAAAATAAATCTATCCAAATTTTGAACGTTCTGTATTAAAAATAAAAGATGACGCCAAATAAAGTATGGTTTACAGTACTTCCGGTGGATACTGGAACTGTGTGACCAGTGGCGGAACTAGAAAAAAAGGGCCACCCCGCAAAAAAAATTTTTTAGGCCCCCCCCCCATATATATATATATATATATATATATATATATATATATATATATATATATATATATATATATATATATATATATATATATAAACATAAAAATACGAACATATGAAACTCATTACTGACCTGTTCGATTTTTGAGGCAAAAAAAAAATTTCAATTTAAACAAATTACAACATCATGTCATGTGTGTAAGTGCGTTAGTTAGTGTGTTTTGTGAAAATTAGTTTTATTTTAACTCTGCTGTAAAACCTAACCCTAGTCGGTATAAAGAATATAAAACATGAAAGCTTTGTAAAAGTAATGGTGTCTCGTGTTATGTTTATTTTTTATTTTTTTTTGTATTTATATTATTAATTTAAAATTCATTTCCTTTTTGTACATTATAATTCTTTAGTCAACACTTTATGATAATAGACCACTTGTCACTGTGCGTTGTGTGATTTCTTTCTTAATATTTCATACTAACAATGTCTAAGGAAAAAAGAAAGTGTTTGGACAATTATGTACAAGAATGGATTCACATGTATAGTCTAATGGAACTTATGGGAGTCAGCATCCTAACTGCATGATTTGCAATGGCAAGTTGGCGATTCAAATCTAGCATCCGCTAAACTAAGAGAACACTCAATTAAGCTGCATGGAGATAGACAATACAAAAACACAGAGCTCGCTGAATTCTAGGTGAAGTCGCTCATTTCTGTCAGCAACAGCACAAGTCATAGAATTGAAAAAAATATTATATTTTTCTTATTAAGAAGGGTTTGGTGAATACTCATGTGAAGCTAGTGGGGTTTGGTGCCTAAAAAAAGGTAAAGAACCACTGGTGTAGACTTGACAACTGAATTATAATTAGTACCATGGCTCCGATCCTTGCCTTTTTCACATTGGAGCATTGGGGTATAGCTCACCTGTTGGCTTGACCAACCTGTGATAGCTCACCTGTTGGCTTGACCAACTTGTGATAGCTCACCTGTTGGCTTGACCAACCTCAACACAAGTAAACAGTCTTATAATAAATTCAGCATTAAAGTATTGATAACTCAACTGACTCCAAGAAAACTCTCGTCTCAGGTCCCATGTAAAATATTACACGTCCCCAAAGGTTCTGAGATGAAAAACTTTCTGCTTGAACTTGCTCACCATTTTAACATTGTTGGATCTCCTGTAATGCTGGGTAATCATTTTCTTGTCATAGCAGCTTCAGTTGAATGTGCTTGTTACATAGAGTGTAGCTAGTTGAATGTGCTTGTTACATAGAGTGTAGCTAGTTGAATGTGCTTGTTACATAGAGTGTAGCTAGTTGAATGTGCTTGTTACATAGAGTGTAGCTAGTTGAATGTGCTTGTTACATAGAGTGTAGCTAGTTGAATGTGCTTGTTACATAGAGTGTAGCTAGTTGAATGTGCTTGTTACATAGAGTGTAGCTAGTTGAATGTGCTTGTTACGTAATGTGGCTAGTAAAAAAAATGGTTCAGTTGAATGTGCTTGTTACATAGAGTGTAGCTAGTTGAATGTGCTTGTTACATAGAGTGTAGCCAGTTGAATGTGCTTGTTACATAGAGTGTAGCTAGTTGAATGTGCTTGTTACATAGAGTGTAGCTAGTTGAATGTGCTTGTTACATAGAGTGTAGCTAGTTGAATGTGCTTGTTACATAGAGTGTAGCCAGTTGAATGTGCTTGTTACATAATGTGACTAGTAAAAAAAATGGTTCAGTTGAATATGCTTGATATATAATGTGTACTGGACTATTGCAGGAGGTGAGAGTGACAATAGCTCTAGAGCAGTGATGGGGGTCAGACTTAAGGACCCAGCATTGTTGATTGTTGTAAGTTGTCTCAGAGCCTAAAACCATATCTTCAGTTAGAGTGAGACAAAAAGGTTTTCAAATGAAATCAAATATACCTTACAAAGCATTGAGTTGGTCATGTTTATAGGGGATGATGTTTTATCATTTCAGGATCCTCATTTCTATGGCAACAAACCAACAGTTGAACTTCTATTACACAAAGGTTTTATCAGATGGCTACCAATCTCAGATCTTCATACAGACACATTCTACAACTTGTGCATGCCCTGCCCATCTTTATGATATGATCCTAGAATCCATTGCAGAGGACTTGGCTGGGGACCAGATGAACCCTGGGATAATGTGGTGGTCTCCTGGTGGTGGGATGATGTGGTGGTCTCCTGGTGATGGGATGATGTGGTGGGCTCCTGGTGGTGGGATGATGTGGTGGTCTCCTGGTGGTGCACATTTTAGTATCCATTGAGCTCAGATAAAAAAATTAAAGATTTCTAACATGGTAACAAAAAGTTTTATTGACAAAAATGGCGGACCCAGCAATTATGAACATAAATATAAACAATTGGAATGAATAAATAGAAGAGAAGCACCAAATACTCCAACCCATTGACTGGTCAGCTAGACCAACCCATTGACTGGTCAGCTAGACCAACCCATTGACTGGTCAGCTAGACCAACCCATTGACTGGTCAGCTAGACCAACCCATTGACTGGTCAGCTAGACCAGGATAACAGTAGAGTTGAGAAGCAAGCGATTTGATTCACTATTGTAGTGTATAGGCTATACAGATGAATGCAGAAAGAATGATGAGTGTAATACTAAAAGATGAGGTAATTGTGGTCTGCAGATAGTCACAATTTTAAAGCTAGAGCATTTCTTACAAATTTGTCATTCTAATTATGCTCCTTTTTTAACATACATGTATTAAGTCAGATACCCAACCACACCTAATTTTGAGAATTCTAAAATTGATTTTTAGCGTGAAGTTTTTAAAAATTGTTCAAAAACAGCTTATAAAAACATTTCCCACCAGAGTTCTGTTGTGTGATCTCAACAAGTATCTACATGGAACAATCTAGTTTTTTACACATTTTCTATGTACATTAAAAAAATACTTTTACAAAAATGCAGATAATGTAAATAGTGAAAAGAAAATGAATCTATTTTTAAAAATATGCTTATTTAGAGAGTATTATTCAGTATGTATAATTAAATATAATAATTAAGGCAATAACCAGTAAGTTTTCCCCCAAAAGTTGCGGTCAAATACATCAATACGCCAGTGGCTGTCTGATACATCAATACGCCAGTGGCTGTCTGATACATCAATACGCCAGTGGCTGTCTGATACATCAATACGCCAGTGGCTGTCTGATACATCAATACGCCAGTGGCTGTCTGATACATCAATACGCCAGTGGCTGTCTGATACATCAATACGCCAGTGGCTGTCTGATACATCAATACGCCAGTGGCTGTCTGATACATCAATACGCCAGTGGCTGTCTGATACATCAATACGCCAGTGGCTGTCTGATACATCAATACGCCAGTGGCTGTCTGATACATCAATACGCCAGTGGTTGTCTGATACATCAATACGCCAGTTGCTGTCTGATACATCAATACGCCAGTTGCTGTCTGATACATCAATACACCAGTTGCTGTCTGATACATTAATACACAAGTGGCTGTCTGATACATTAATACACCAGTGGCTGTCTGATACATCAATACACCAGTGGCTGTCTGATACATCAATACACCAGTGGCTGTCTGATACATCAATACACCAGTGGCTGTCTGATACATCAATACACCAGTTACTCCACAAGTCACAGAATTGAACTAATTAAAACCGCTTGTTTCTACTCACAAAAGATTGCTCAGTTTATGGCATTTGTTGGAACCATTCAAACTGGTTATGTTGCTTTACTAGATCAAGTGAACCAGAAGGGTTAAATGTAAGCTACAAGTGAATCAGTCTGGTTAAGTGTAAGCTACAAGTGAACCAGCCTGGTTAAGTGTAAGCTACAAGTGAACCAGCCTGGTTAAGTGTAAGCTACAAGTGAACCAGCCTGGTTAAGTGTAAGCTACAAGTGAACCAGCCTGGTTAAATGTAAGCTATCTGAGAGTTGGCTGATGTGTCCTCATGTTCAGATCTGCTCTTGGTGCTGTGAAGATGGTCTTGGAGAGCTTTTTGTTTCTTGTAGAAAGGAGAGCAACTTGATGCATCTGTTACATTGGTTTTATCCCATTTAGATTTCAAGTCTTTAACACTCCAAGGCAGTTCAGGTTTCTTCTTGCTCTTGGCAGCTGCAATAGTAGGCTTGGCTGCACTGACTGTAGGGAGAGGTTTGGCTGTAGGGTTTGTAGGGACTGGTTTGGCTGTAGGGTTTGTAGGGACAGGTTTGGCTGTAGGGTTTGTAGGGACAGGTTTGGCTGTAGGGTTTGTAGGGACAGGTTTGGCTGTAGGGTTTGTAGGGACAGGCTTGGGTTTCCCCACAGATTTGTGTTCTTGACCAAAAGCTGCAGCTTGCGGTTCATGCAGCTGCTTCTCCTGGGTAAACAGCATTGGAATTGAAGGAGATGATGCAGAATGTTTGATCAAACTTTTCATTGGAAGCTTTGACTGATGAAAGTAAGACTTGGCCTTGAGAAAGTTTTCATGGTGCTCCGAGCTGCTGGCTGTGTTGCTGGTCTGCCCTTCAAGTGGAGCCTGACCAGGCTGTCCTGATGGCACTTCTTTCACCCCCTCTCTTGTGCTCACTGAAAGCTTAGAAAAACTCTTGGATAACGGGGAGCAATGGGAAGATTGCTTTTGTTTTGTTTCAAATTCCTCAATTGACTCTAAGTACAATTGCTTTGGTGTTTTTTTATTGAGAAAATGAATTGGTAGCTCTTGCAGCTCAATGATGGATTGAGATTCTTGTTTGTACACATCCCCATCCTCCTCACTGCTTGTGACTGATGAGACACTTCCATTACTAGAGTTACTAATATCAGAGCATGCCCCAAAAGAATGAGAATGCTTGAGGGTGGATGCCAGCCTAGAACTAGTGCTGGAAGGGTGCTGGGGCTCCTCTTGTACACAGTCTGACAAGCTGACCATTGCTGGTAGCAACTTTGGTAATCCTGAAGGCAATGGCTGGCCAGCTGACACATCCGGCAGGGACCTGGCTACTTTTTCACTTCTGCCTGACAGTCTACTAGAGCTGTGCTCTTCATGTGAACTGCCATACTGCCCTGCTCGTTCATGTGAACTGCCATACTGCCCTCCTCGTTCATGTGAACTGCCATACTGCCCTGCTCGTTCATGTGAACTGTCATACTGCCCTGCTCGTTCATGTGAACTGCCATACTGCCCTGCTCGTTCATGTGAACTGCCATACTGCCCTGCTCGTTCATGTGAACTGCCATACTGCCCTCCTCGTTCATGTGAACTGTCATACTGCCCTGCTCGTTCATGTGAACTGCCATACTGCCCTGCTCGTTCATGTGAACTGCCATACTGCCCTGCTCGTTCATGTGAACTGCCATACTGCCCTGCTCGTTCATGTGAACTGCCATACTGCCCTGCTCGTTCATGTGAACTGCCATACTGCCCTGCTCGTTCATGTGAACTGCCATATTGCCCTCCTCGTTCATGTGAACTGCCATACTGCCCTCCTCGTTCATGTGAACTGCCATACTGCCCTTGCTGATTGTAGATCTGGAGAGACTGTTCATACAAGGCTTTAGCTCGTGCGCTTGCCTCCCTTTGTTTTTCTGTATCTTCTATTGTTATTTGCACAGGGATTTTCTGCTTGAGCTTTCTCTGTACAGCCTGCTGGTAGCCTGGAGGTTTGTCACACGTGTCAGAACATGTCACAATGTCAGAACATGTCACAATGTCAGAACATGTCACAATGCCAGCTTTGGAAGATGCAGACAAACTGGAATTTGATTTTTTGAAAGACTTGGAATGTGAGAAATGGCTTGAAAGTTCCCCTTGTGAATTTAAGTCCAGTGTTTCCAAACGTTTAGAAAACTGGAACTGATTTGTGACCTGCTTGGATAAACTTTTTAATATGACATTAGGAGGAGGGGAGCCAGTCAGCAGGTGGACTCTCCTCATGACTGCCTCACTTGATGGCTCTTCAGGAATGGAGACTTTAAACTGGGGGCGTCGACCCAGATGAATTTCCTCTGCTTCATGGAACTTTCCAGACCTAACAGATGTGTTCCTGGTGGGGAAACCAAGCTCTGGAGGAGATAATTCAGCTAAATTAAAAGTGGATTGGCTTAAACCACGAGATTTAATCTTTGAATTGACAGGAGGGCTCTCTGTAACAGTTGAATTGACAGGAGGGCTCTCTGTACCAGTTGAATTGACAGGAGGGCTCTCTGTACCAGTTGAATTGACAGGAGGGCTCTCTGTACCAGTTGAATTGACAGGAGGGCTCTCTGTAACAGTTGAATTGACAGGAGGGCTCTCTGTAACAGTTGAATTGACAGGAGGGCTCTCTGTAACAGTTGAATTGAGTGATTGTTCAAGCTGAGCCTGCTGTGAAGTCTGCAAGAGACTGCCAGGAGAGGCAGGTGGCGTGGCCTCTGTGACTGATGACTGCCTCAGGAACCTGTGCTGGGGTTTGAATGCTGATGGCCTGTAGGGCTCAGTTGTCACGGGGCTATAGTGGTCAGTGATGACAGGCAAATCATTGAAAAAGAAATGACCACTCTCAGACTTGACTAAAGTTCCCATATCAGTGCTTGGCACGTGCAAGTCAGCTGATCTGTGCTCAGCCTCCTCCCATAAAAAAGTGTTTTCTTTGTCTAAAGAAGTTTGTTTGCGCCAGTCATGACTGGAGTCTAGCTGTCTAGTTGAAGCACTGTGCTTGATTGCTGCTAGTTGGTCCACAGAGCTAGAGTGGACTGGATGAGCTTTTCTTGATTTCTTCCCAGAGACTTTCCTTAGGGGAGCAGCAAGTTCTGGTGTGTCAATGAAATGGGTGTTTTGGTTGGAATCAATACTAAGTGCATCAGGGTACTGGAATTGCTCCAGTCTGGCATGCTTTGAGAAAATGTCCTCATATAGTTGGGTGTCACTGAGTGTCAAGCCAGTTTCCTCGTCATAAAGTTGAGTGTCACTAAGGGTTAGACCAGAGTCCCGACTCAGGTTGGTTGGTGACAGGTGGGATTTGCTGGCCTTAGGGCTGGACTCCATTTCACTAGACAGCAGCTCTCTGTCAGCAAAGCTGTCAATGGAGGAGTCATCTTGTCTCAAACCCACTGGGGAAAGACAAGGAACATTTGTTAGCAATAAAGGTTAAATCACAAAGAACATTTGTTAGCAATAAAGGTTAAATCACAAAGAACATTTGTTAGCAATAAAGGTTAAATCACAAAGAACATTTGTTAGCAATAAAGGTTAAATCACAAAGAACATTTGTTAGCAATAAAGGTTAAATCACAAAGAACATTTGTTAGCAATAAAGGTTAAATCACAAAGAACATTTGTTAGCAATAAAGGTTAAATCACAAAGAACATTTGTTAGCAATAAAGGTTAAATCACAAAGAACATTTGTTAGCAATAAAGGTTAAATCACAAAGAACATTTGTTAGCAATAAAGGTTGTTAACCATCTACAGGCCCGGGCATCAAAAATTACTTTCCCTATGGCTGGGCGAAAAGACGATGCATTTTTCATCCACAACACTTTTTTAAAATAATGTTTTAAAAAATTAACACTTACGTTAAAAAGTATTTAGCAATATACACTAACCATAATGTCGCACAGGACACACCACAATGTCCTACAAGACCCACTGACCACAATGTCCTACAAGACCCACTGACCACAATGTCCTACAAGACCCACTGACCACAATGTCCTACAAGACACTCACTGACCACAATGTCCTACAAGACACTCATTGACCACAATGTCCTACAAGACACTCATTGACCACAATGTCCTACAAGACCCACTGACCACAATGTCCTACAAGATATTCATTGACCACAATGTCCTACAAGACACTCATTGACCACAATGTCCTACAAGACACTCACTGACCACAATGTCCTACAAGACACTCACTGACCACAATGTCCTACAAGACACTCACTGACCACAATGTCCTACAAGACCCACTGACCACAATGTCCTACAAGATATTCATTGACCACAATGTCCTACAAGACACTCATTGACCACAATGTCCTACAAGACACTCACTGACCACAATGTCCTACAAGACACTCACTGACCACAATGTCCTACAAGACCCACTGACCACAATGTCCTACAAGACACCCACTGACCACAATGTCCTACAAGACACTCACTGACCACAATGTCCTACAAGACTCATGTCCTAACCACTTAGCCCCACACAAAGAAAAGTGTAACCACTCACTTCCTGTGTCGGGCATGCTGAGTAAACTATGCATGCTGTCTGAGTCTGTCCCAGAATCCAGCTGGAAGTTGGAAACTCTTCTCTGATGGGAAAGCAAGATTTTTCCCTTTAGTTCTTCTTCTTCCTCTTCCTCCAGTGTTTCATCCTCATCCACTAGAGGGGGCTGACGAGGGACATCACCTTTATCTTCAGTCAAATTGACAGCTGGTGAGCTCTGACAACCATATTTGGTGAACATTGAGAGAATGTCTTGACCAAATATTTCTACATGCTTGAGGATCATGAAGGAAATTAAGGGAGTAAACACATTAGTGATTTCAAAGACTGAATGTTGGAGTGCAGCGTTACTGTTCTTCCCCCTGGGTCCATCCCGCACTTGAGGTGTGCAGAAAGATGGAGCTATGCATGTTGCCAGGTTGGTGGCTCCCATGTTGGTTTTAGCACTGAACTTGGCCAGGTGTTGCAGAAGACAGATGGTCAGTTTGACAACTCTGTAGTGAGCTGGGGGCAGCTTGTCCAAAACACTGTGGACAGAGACACATTTTTAACCTCACTCAAAAAACATTCATCAGAAATCCATTTAACTTTAGGCTACTGTAACAATCTCATGATAAAGATAAAATTTTAAAAAATTACGTTTTAATTTTTCTGATCTTAACATCCTCTGGGTCATCTTTCTTTATCTGCAGCCAATCATCATGTAGCCTTTTCAACAACAAACCTTCAGGGACACACCGAATGAACTCCTAAAACAAACAAGACAATATTTTTCTACAACAAACCTCCAGGGACACAGAATGAACAGCTTGGTAATGGTAGGTTAGAGCACGGTTCTGTTTGGTAATGGTAGGTTAGAGCACGGTTCTGTTTGGTAATGGTAGGTTAGAGCACGGTTCTGTTTGGTAATGGTAGGTTAGAGCACGGTTCTGTTTGGTAATGGTAGGTTAGAGCACGGTTCTGTTTGGTAATGGTAGGTTAGAGCACGGTTCTGTTTGGTAATGGTAGGTTAGAGCACGGTTCTGTTTGGTAATGGTAGGTTAGAGCACGGTTCTGTTTGGTAATGGTAGGTTAGAGCACGGTTCTGTTTGGTAATGGTAGGTTAGAGCACGGTTCTGTTTGGTAATGGTAGGTTAGAGCACGGTTCTGTTTGGTAATGGTAGGTTAGAGCACGGTTCTGTTTGGTAATGGTAGGTTAGAGCACGGTTCTGTTTGGTAATGGTAGGTTAGAGCACGGTTCTGTTTGGTAATGGTAGGTTAGAGCACGGTTCTGTTTGGTAATGGTAGGTTAGAGCACGGTTCTGTTTGGTAATGGTAGGTTAGAGCACGGTTCTGTTTGGTAATGGTAGGTTAGAGCACGGTTCTGTTTGGTAATGGTAGGTTAGAGCACGGTTCTGTTTGGTAATGGTAGGTTAGAGCACGGTTCTGTTTGGTAATGGTAGTTTAGAGCACGGTTCTGCTTGGTAATGGTAGGTTAGAGCACGGTTCTGTTTGGTAATGGTAGGTTAGAGCACGGTTCTGTTTGGTAATGGTAGGTTAGAGCACGGTTCTGCTTGGTAATGGTAGGTTAGAGCACGGTTCTGCTTGGTAATGGTAGGTTAGAGCACGGTTCTGCTTGGTAATGGTAGGTTAGAGCACGGTTCTGTTTGGTAATGGTAGGTTAGAGCACGGTTCTGTTTGGTAATGGTAGGTTAGAGCACGGTTCTGTTTGGTAATGGTAGGTTAGAGCACGGTTCTGTTTGGTAATGGTAGGTTAGAGCACGGTTCTGTTTGGTAATGGTAGGTTAGAGCACGGTTCTGTTTGGTAATGGTGGGTTAGAGCACGGTTCTGTTTGGTAATGGTGGGTTAGAGCACGGTTCTGTTTGGTAATGGTGGGTTAGAGCACGGTTCTGTTTGGTAATGGTAGGTTAGAGCACGGTTCTGTTTGGTAATGGTGGGTTATACTAGAGCACGGTTCTGTTTGGTAATGGTAGGTTAGAGCACGGTTCTGTTTGGTAATGGTAGGTTAGAGCACGGTTCTGTTTGGTAATGGTAGGTTAGAGCACGGTTCTGTTTGGTAATGGTGGGTTATACTAGAGCACGGTTCTGTTTGGTAATGGTAGGTTAGAGCACGGTTCTGTTTGGTAATGGTAGGTTAGAGCACGGTTCTGTTTGGTAATGGTGGGTTAGAGCACGGTTCTGTTTGGTAATGGTGGGTTAGAGCACGGTTCTGTTTGGTAATGGTGGGTTAGAGCATAAATGGTTTTTAACACTTGCTAAAACAACTTTTCCAAGCCTAAAAAAAATTCAACATAGTCTCTGAAGCTGCTTTCTCTTTTGATAATTACATTATAAATAAAGTAAAGCCAGATTCAACAGTACAGGCATTTTAATTAGATTTAATTTCACTAATATTGCCCGTATTTTTGTGAAAAAAAATTCTTAACAGCAGTGGGGCATGATGTAAATTACCTTGAAGACAGAAGCAGCAGTAGGGGCATGATGTAAATTACCTTGAAGACAGAAGCAGCAGTAGGGGCATGATGATCTTCCAGTTCAAACTTACTGCCAGTGCAAATTTTCTCTTTAACTTCCTTTCCGAGTGAAGCATTGTTGCCACGTCTCAGAATCCCGCTGATATTAGGGCCCTGGTTGTACACCAGCACCATCAGTTGCTGCAACAAGACAGCACGAGGTTGCTTATAGTACTTATACAAAGATCAAATGGGGTCACACATCCAGTATTTTTAAAAATATATGATGATTTAATCACTTACAATAATTGATTCTGGAGGATCATAGTTGTCATTCTCATTGCATATTTCAGATAGTGGCTGACCAAATACTAAACTTTGCTGTTTTGTTCGTTTAAAAAAATTCAAAAAATTCGGGGACTTTTTGTTCTTCTTCATTGACTTCTGGGGAAGACCCTCTGTTGAGAAAAGTAACGGATCATTAGTACAAATCAGAACATGATTACAGTCTTTCAAATGCTCTGTTGATGCAGCTTATACTTAGATTGTGTTCAAATCAACACAAGCTAAAACCTGACATCCAAAAGCTAAATTGACAACAGTCAAGTCAAAGATCTATCCTTAAAAAATAACTGACATTTTTTAAAAATTTAGATCTACCTAGGGAATGCTTTTTTGATTTTTTCTGTTTGAGAAAAAATTCACATTTTGGCACAGCAGCACCCAAGTCATGCTCTCCTGATTTTGAGCGGAGGAACTCTCGTGCCTGGCAAAATTTGATAGAAAATGGCGTTTCATGACCTGAAATAAAATATTAATCTTCATTATTTTATGAGGAAAAATAATTAACTCACCCAGTAGCGACAAAACAAAAAATATTTAGAGCAAGCTGAAGAGTTTTATTATTTTCAAATAAAATTTATTTAAATATTTTAACTTCAGTAGGCCCTAAGTGGTACTATTATTATCAAAACAGAAATAAATTTGTATAGCCTACCAATAATTACCTATGTTTATAAAATATATTTCATTTTAAAACTTTAATTGTAAAGTAAAACTTTCCCATGCCTACGTTTTGACTGACTAGAAATAGAATCTAGATCTAGAAATCTAGTATACATTTCTTTTGAAAAGAATACACTATATTAATAAATTATGTCATTGTTACTCTAGTTTATCAGGAATGTTTGGTGATATCCGTTACTACTAGCTTTATCAATCTCTCTGATATCAGAGACCGTGGCCAGCTAGATTTAGAATTGAGATCAAACGTGGTCAGTGCTTGACTGTCCTGACAACAGAGATAGTGAGATGATAGCTACTTAGTCAAGCAAGATCAGACTAGACTAGATTCTCTACTTCTAGATTAGTAGCCCACGCATTATGATTATTCAAACCATTGAAGTTTGATAGATGACGTGATTATTAAGTGTTTTGGCATCTTTTCAGTTTAAAAAAAAAAACGACTTCACTAGGAATAATTTAAGAAATTTGGCCTGGAAATATACAGAAAAATAGAGCTAGACTATAGAGACTAGATCTAGATAGATCTAGAATATTAAAACAAGGCGTGTCCAAATAGAATCTTAAATATTTAATAAAAAACTAAAGTTTACTATAGTAAAGTATAGATCTAGAATTCTAGATCTAATAGTTACTAGAAGTAGAATCTAGATCTAGATCTAGATCTAGAATCTAATAAGGGCCATAAGGGTTACTCATACTGGTAATCAACTTAAAAAAAAAACATTTTTATTGGTACACTAGATTCTACATTATCATTTAATATTAAGCCAACATTTCAATTTTAGTAAGACAAACGATTGGCAAAAGGATCTAGATCTATATCCAGACAAGTGAATGCATAATATTTTTAAAAAAGAAAAAAACACACTTTGTAAGTAGTTTGTTCTCAAAAACTTGACAGATAAATAAACTTTAACTATTAAAGAGCACATGGCCTAGTTTACTATTTATTATAAAGTAACAGTAGTAACGCCATGTTTACTCGCATTTTCAATGAGAAACGTCGCGTAGATAATGATAACCATAAAATAAACACATTTTTAATTGAACTAATTTGTCATGCTAAAGGGGAAGGATGGACGATTTTCATTAGCCAACTTAGCCGCTTCCAAAGTAAAGTTGTAAACTTGTAGGTTAGGCCTACATTTACAAAATACATTACCGTACTTAATCCTAGAACTTCTCGCCCACCGTTTCTTTTTAACAATAATTGCCGGGGAAGGGGGTGTGTAAGCCATGAGCAGTGGTTTCCCCCCCTCCCCCTCCCCGGAGAATCAATTAGAAAACATAAGCTACAATGTGGCCTGTATAAAATGTTTAGCCAGTGTTGTCCCCCACCCTCCACAAGAAAAATCGGGCCGACCCTCCGGTCACTATGCTTGGGCCCAATGAAACTTACTATCCGGTCCTGGATTGGCGTGTTCCGCAAAGTGCAGCACAGGCAGGCTCTTAGCCGGCCTAAGGGCAGCCTTGGGTGTGAACATGTTCCATAAATCCAGGTGCAGCATGCTCACTGGCTCTCGTCCATTTCACAGCCGGCAACTTTGGTCGCCGCTAACCTCTTAGTTATACTACATGGTGATCCGTTGTACACACTAGTCCAGCTGCATCAAGTGCAGGACAATCAGTTGGCCGAAACTATCAGTTGGCCTAAACTACCAGTTGGCCGAAACTACCAGTTGGCCGAAACTACCAGTTGGCCGAAGCTACCAGTTGGCCGAAACTATCAGTTGGCCGAAACTATGTAAGTTGTGAAGACGATGAGAACGTATATGAAACCATCCTACAACGCTATTCTCGTCCGGCCTGTTGAACTAACCACTAAACACACCGATTGAATTTCGGCCATTGAGTGGTCGAGCACAAGACCGAGCAGTGTTCACTTGGCCACTCAACTGTTGACCCGACACACCAGCAGACCGGGGTACACAGCAGACACGCTTCACTGCCCTCCTGCCAACCAATCAGTGGCTGATACCATTGTTTGGGTCCGCCGGTCTAGTTCCATCTACCTGACACAAACTGCTGGCTACTCCGTTCTACCAAACCCACCCAACACTTTGCTACACGAATAACCTTGACCCATACGGAAGTCCAGGATGAGGTTCATCAAACCGAGCCGATAACTTTCTGTGTGGGGCCATGTTATTCTGGTAAACGGAAAAAAAGTCACAGGAAAAAAAAAAACAGAAAAAAAGTCACAGTTTTTGCTAGGAAAAAAAGTCACAGAAAAAAAGTCACAGTGGAAAAATTTTATCGGAAAAAAAGTCACAGAAATCATGTCATGTCATGTTTGCCTGTCGTCCCTACTGGGACATAGGCCGCTGACAAGAGCTTTCCAGACGTCTCTGTCCAGGGCTAGTCTCTCCAACTGTCCCCAGGTGTATCCAATCTTCTTGGTGTCTTCTTCCAGGTCACGTCTCCAGGTCTTTCTTGGTCTGCCTCTCTTCCTCCTGCCTTGTGGATTCCAGGTGAGGGCCTGTCTTGTTATGCTGGATACAGGCTTCCTGAGTGTGTGGCCAATCCATTTCCATTTTCTCTGGAGGATCTCTACTTCCACTGGCAGTTGATTTGTCCGTTGCCATAGAACATCATTTCTGATGGTTTTAGGCCAGCGAATTCGCAGGATCTTTCTGAGACATGCGTTTATAAATGATTGTATTTTCTTCTTATTTATAGCAGTTATTCTCCATGTCTCAGCTCCATAGAGTAAAACAGGTTTTACTAGTGTGTTGAAGATCCGGATTTTTATTCTAAGGGTTAAATCTCCCGAACCCCAAACATTTTTTAGTTGGTTGAAGACTGCTCTTGCCTTACCCGTCCTTATTTTTATGTCTGCTTCTGTCCCACCCTGCTTATCAACAATACTTCCAAGGTAGGTGAATCTATCCACTTCTTCTAGGGCTTCTTCTGCCAGTGTTATAGGGTTGTTGTTTGATGTATTGACTTTGAGAACTTTACTTTTCCCTCTGTGGATGTTCAGACCCAGGCTTGTAGAAAAATTTGCAACCCTGTTGGTTTTATCCTGCATTTGCTGTTGTGTGTGAGAAAGGAGGGCCAGGTCGTCAGCAAAGTCCAGGTCATCCAGCTGGCTCCACAATGTCCACTGTATACCGTTTCGCGTTTTCTCTGTTGACATCTTCATAACCCAGTCTATGGCCAGTAGGAACAGGAATGGTGAAAGTAGGCAACCCTGCCTTACTCCGGTCCGTACTGGGAAGGCCTCTGTAGTCTGTTGGCCATGCACTACTCTACACTTGAGACCTTCATATGAAGACATAATAATGTTGACTATTTTCTGTGGCACCCCGTAGTGTCTCAACAATTTCCACATTGACTGCCTATCCAGGCTATCAAAGGCCTTCTCATAGTCTATGAAATTAATATAGAGAGATGAGTTCCACTCTTGGGTCTGTTCAATGATGATGCGCAGGGTAGCAATTTGGTCTATGCATGACCTTTCCTTCCTAAAGCCCGCCTGTTGATCTCGAAGCTGGGGATCTATGGCTTCCTTCATTCTGTTTAATAATATTCTGTTGAAGACTTTGCCTGGGATGGACAAAAGTGTTATCCCTCTATAGTTAGAGCATGCACTAAGATCGCCTTTCTTTGGAAGCTTTATGAGTAGTCCCTCCTTCCACTCCTCTGGTATTTGTTCATCTTCCCAGATTTTCTTGAAGAGTGTGTATAGTAGTGTGGTGCTAGTTTCTATATCTGCTGTCAGTGCTTCTGCCGGTATACCATCTATTCCTGGAGCCTTCCAATTTTTCAGCTGCTTTATAGCTCTATGTATCTCTTCTTTTGAAGGTGGGTTGCAGTCTATAGGGAGGTCACTTTCAGCTGGTGGTATGTCTTGCGTGCACTCTGGTGTTGGTCTATTCAGTAGTTCTTCAAAATGTTCCACCCATCTCTTCATCTGTCCTTCCGCATCAGGTATTGTCTTTCCATCTTTGGTTTTCACTGGCCTCTCTGGCTTACTGTACTTACCAGATATCTTCTTAATTGTATTGTACACGTCCCTAATATTACCATGGTACAGTGCTTCTTCCGCTTCTCTTGCCAGCAGTTCCAAATAGCTCCGTTTGTCTTTCCTTATGTGTTTCTTTACATTTTTGTTCGTTTCGGTGTATTCTTCCAGTGCTTTTAATTTCGTAGCCCGTGTGCGGCTGTTGTTTAATGTTACCTTCTTTCTTTTTCTCTCTTCAATAATTTTCATGGTATCTGCTGATATCCATTCCTTCGCTTGTCTTTTGATAGGGCCTAGCACTTCTTCGCATGTTGATGTTAATATACTTTTAGTTTTTTCCCATGTTTCCTCTATCGTCTCTTCTTCTATTAGTTCTTGTAGTACCTGGAACCTATTGGACATATGAAGTTTAAATTCGTTGAGTTTAGATGGGTCCTTTAGCAGGCCTGTGTTGTACCTGTATTTCCTTTTGTTTTCCAACATGTTTTTCTTCAGCTTGAGTTTTACTTTAGCTACCAGTAGGTGATGGTCTGAAGCAACATCAGCTCCTCTCTTGACGCGTACATCCTGAAGTGATCTCCTGAACTTTTTTATGATACATATATGGTCTATCTGGTTTTCTGTAGATAGGTCGGGTGATACCCAAGTAGCTTTATGTATCCTTTTATGATGAAAGAGACTACCACCAATGACTAAATTATTTGTGGCACACAAGTCAGCAAATCTTTCTCCGTTTTCGTTCATCTCACCTAAACCCTGCTGTCCCATACATTCTTCATATCCTCTGTTGTCGCTTCCAATCTTAGCATTGAAGTCGCCCATGAGTATAAGGATGTTTCTTCTTGGGCGGTTCTGGATAATGGTCATTAGCCTGTTGTAGAATTCGTCTTTGTCCTCCTCTTTGCTGTCATTTGTTGGGGCGTAGGCCTGTATTATGTCCATGTTTATTCGTCTTATTTTAGTTTTAAAGGTAGCTGTTATGATCCGCGGGCAGTGTGCCTCCCATCCGATGAGAGCCCTTTGTGCTTGATTTGATAGCATGAGTGCAACTCCTTGAGTATGTGGTGCATTTTCATCCTCATGACCTGAGTACAGCAGTAGCTCTCCTGATATCAGCCTTTTTTGTCCTGAGCCAGTCCACCTTGATTCGCTGACACCCAGGATAGCTATTTTATAGCGTCTCATTTCTGCTGCTACTTGGGTTGCTTTTCCAGCTTCGTACATCGTGCGGACATTCCAAGCTCCAATATTGATGGTGGTCCTAGTGGAAATAATGGTGGTCGACCTGGTGGTTTCCAATACATATTGGCTTTCACCACCCGGCTTCATAAATTCTCCATCGGGAGATCCATTTTTCCCCTGGTCCGAGCTGTCTTTGTTTCTCTCTGTCTGCGTTTCTGTAGCGGGTAATTTGTTTTACGAGATAAGGTTGCTAGCCTTATGCTCAACCCCCAACCTGGAGGACCAGGGTGCTAGCTTTCGTCTGACCCCTACCCGCGCAGACCTTCCCAGCTTGGTTGAACCTGCCAGGAGTTAACACTCCTGCTGGTATAGCTCTGGGGGTCGTCAGGGTACGCAAGCTGCCAAGCCACGACAAGGCCCTAGCACCAGATGACAGACAGAAATAACGTCACAGAAAAAAAGTCACAAAAATCTTTTTAGAAATATTTTTATTAATTTGTTAAGAATTGTAAAATTTTGTATGTTTATTGTTGTGGGTTGTATTTTTTGATAGCATAAATTATTTATAGACGTTAAAAGCATTATGATTTATAACAATTGTAAGTAAAAATACTCAAAGATAATTTACACAACAATCTCAACTTGTTACGTATTTAGTTAAATACGCGGTAGAAAAGTTAATTATAAAAGAAATTTAGGCAAATTTTGCCGTAGGCTATTCTCTGGTCGGCCTCTCCTCTGTAGGCATTGTCCGAACATATTTTGTGTTGTTGACGTTACGCGTCAATGACAGCCTTTGAACCTTGTCGGCTTTTGATCCTAAGTTTTGTTATGTAATGAGCGTGATAAATGTGGGCAGTAAAGGTGGTTGAACTAAACATAACTATTGTTGCCATGACTTGAGGGCAGCAAGTCAGATGAACTTACCATTTCACGGTAATTTAATATTGGTATTTTAAAAAAAACACGATGAAAACCGTGGACTTTGGAGCATTCTATTAAATGCTACTAATCTTAAGTTTAACATAATTACAATCTACATACTTCATAATAAATATTTTTAGATGAATTATAAAAATTCCTATGCGTATACAGCCTACACACATTACATTACATTTAATTAATCCTAAGTTAATTTGCACTCACTAAATATTAAATACATAAAAGTATTAACAAATATGCAAATATATATTTGTGACTTTTTTTCCTGTGACTTTTTTTCCCTGTGACTTTTTTTCCTGTGACTTTTTTTCTGTGTTTTTTTTTTCCTGTGTTTTTTTTTACCTGTGACTTTTTTTCCTACAATCGTTATTCTTCGTCAGCTCGAGAATGCGTTCATTATCGATATTCAAAAATCTAAGGTCCTCCTAATATGTATGTCATGGCTACACAAGAAATGTAAGTAACCTACACAAGATATAGGTCATGGCTACACAAGAAACGTAATTTATTTAAACAAGATGATTTATACTATTGTACACACTATACAGTATACACAATTACCGTGGAGAGGGCGGGTTTTTTTTTTCAAAAAATATTTTGAAATCTTGTCAGTCTAAGTTAGTGTGCGTAAACACTATCATTTGAGTACTGTTTCAGCTAGGCTGGGGGGGGGGGGGGGGGGTCATCCATAAATGACGTCATGCTGTTTTGACGATTTTTTACCTCCCCTCCCCTCCGTCACACGTCGTCACAAAAAGTCAGACCCCCCCCCCCTAAAATGGCGTCACACCTCAGCCTACTACCTCCCTCAAAAATGCTGTTGAATTTTTCTTAAAAAATCTATATTTTTCCGAAATCTTGTCAGAACTCTGTCAACATAGATTATTTTCATCAACTCCTATTATAATTTTTTAAAACCGTTTTCTAAATCGCGAAGTAATGGCTAAAACTCGTTTTCTAACATTGCTTTTTTATAATGCAAAAAAGTGACTTCACACCATCTGAACCCCCCCCCCCCCCTCCCCCTCGTCATACACCGTCACAAAATTACGGACCCCCCCCCACCCCTACGAGTGTGACGTCATTTATGGACGACCCCTTGACGAATTTTCTTATACTTATAATAAAGACTGCGTATCGAATTTGTAGTTTTCTACCAACTGTTAAGTGATTTCCAGTAACCTGAAATGGTACTTACTCCACTTTCGGTTTCTCAAAAGCCTATAAGTACTTAAGTACTGTTTCAGTCAGGGCTGACGAAATGATATATATATGGAGGCCATGTATATATATATATATATATATATATATATATATATATATATATATATATATATATATATATATATACACACACACACACAGTGAAGGCCAAGAGTGACGTTGATGCGCAGGATGAGGAGGCAGAGACAGAATTATTGGGGGACTGTCAGGGATATTGTAGAGGGAGCTTTCAGTTCATTGGCACAAAAGGGAGCAGATAATGATCACATAAGTTTTATTATTATTACGATTGACGAGTTGGGTTTGATCATTATTGTTGACATGGATAAAAATAGGTTTTTTTTTTTAAAAAAGATTTTGCCACATTAGGTTTCGTTAATTACCCACCAGTGATACCAGTGTTTCTTCCAGACTTGTTTCTCCGAGGGGGGGGGGGCACTTGAATTTTTTTTGGGGGGGGGGGGGGGGGGTTGGGCGGTACACTTTCTTCAGGGGGGGGGGGGGAGGCGGACACTGTTAAAAGTATATATTTTCGGGGGGGGGGGGGGGCGGTAAAAAAAATTCTGAAGAGATGCCTGGAAGAAACTCTGAGTGATACAGGCATGTCTCATATTTTGTTCTCGCAATTTACCGCCTTCCCATTTCGCATCTCGCAATTTACCAATACCCAACTTGTCACGGCTGCATCCATTGAAATAATTAGAAAGCTTGGGCTGTTTCTGAGCTGACAAACAATATACCTGATAAGTCAGGCTTTCCAAAATTGCTTAAGTACAGTTTTATATGATGGTGGATATCAAAAGTTTCTTTTATTTTTAAAAATTTACTTTTTTTTCATAAAATTAGCCACTCACAAATGAGGGCGGGGGGGTGGTAGGGTGGATTAGCCACTCACCAATGAGGGGGTAGGGTGGATTAGCCACTCACCAATGAGGGGGTAGGGTGGATTAGCCACTCACCAATGAGGGGGTAGGGTGGATTAGCCACTCACCAATGAGGGGGTAGGGTGGATTAGCCACTCACCAATGAGGGGGTAGGGTGGATTAGCCACTCAATAATGAGGGGGTAGGGTGGATTAGCCACTCACCAATGAGGGGGTAGGGTGGATTAGCCACTCACCAATGAGGGGGTAGGGTGGATTAGCCACTCACCAATGAGGGGGTAGGGTGGATTAGCCACTCACCAATGAGGGGGTAGGGTGGATTAGCCACTCACCAATGAGGGGGTAGGGTGGATTAGCCACTCACCAATGAGGGGGTAGGGTGGATTAGCCACTCACCAATGAGGGGGTAGGGTGGATTAGCCACTCACCAATGAGGGGGTAGGGTGGATTAGCCACTCACCAATGAGGGGGTAGGGTGGATTAGCCACTCAATAATGAGGGGGTAGGGTGGATTAGCCACTCACCAATGAGGGGGTAGGGTGGATTAGCCACTCACCAATGAGGGGGTAGGGTGGATTAGCCACTCACCAATGAGGGGGTAGGGTGGATTAGCCACTCACCAATGAGGGGGTAGGGTGGATTAGCCACTCACCAATGAGGGGGTAGGGCGTGCCGTCCCTGCTGTGCAGAACCCAAAGCTGATGATCTTTGACCTCAGTTACCTGCAGGAGAGAAGTTAGTCAAAACTGTCACATCATGTCTCAGGTCTGTGTTTTGTTACCTGCAGGAGAGAAGTTAGTCAAAACTGTCACATCATGTCTCAGGTCTGTGTTTTGTTACCTGCAGGAGAGAAGTTAGTCAAAACTGTCACATCATGTGTCAGGTCAGAGTTTTGTTACCTGCAGGAGAGAAGTTAGTCAAAACTGTCACATCATGTGTCAGGTCTGTGTTTTGTTACCTGCAGGAGAGAAGTTAGTCAAAACTGTCACATCATGTGTCAGGTCTGTGTTTTGTTACCTGCAGGAGAGAAGTTAGTCAAAACTGTCACATCATGTGTCAGGTCAGAGTTTTGTTACCTGCAGGAGAGAAGTTAGTCAAAACTGTCACATCATGTGTCAGGTCTGTGTTTTGTCACCTGCAGGAGAGAAGTTAGTCAAAACTGTCACATCATGTGTCAGGTCAGAGTTTTGTTACCTGCAGGAGAGAAGTTAGTCAAAACTGTCACATCATGTGTCAGGTCAGAGTTTTGTTACCTGCAGGAGAGAAGTTAGTCAAAACTGTCACATCATGTGTCAGGTCTGTGTTTTGTTACCTGCAGGAGAGAAGTTAGTCAAAACTGTCACATCATGTGTCAGGTCAGAGTTTTGTTACCTGCAGGAGAGAAGTTAGTCAAAACTGTCACATCATGTGTCAGGTCAGAGTTTTGTTACCTGCAGGAGAGAAGTTAGTCAAAACTGTCACATCATGTGTCAGGTCTGTGTTTTGTTACCTGCAGGAGAGAAGTTAGTCAAAACTGTCACATCATGTGTCAGGTCAGAGTTTTGTTACCTGCAGGAGAGAAGTTAGTCAAAACTGTCACATCATGTGTCAGGTCAGAGTTTTGTTACCTGCAGGAGAGAAGTTAGTCAAAACTGTCACATCATGTGTCAGGTTTGTGTTTTGTTACCTGCAGGAGAGAAGTTAGTCAAAACTGTCACATCATGTGTCAGGTCAGAGTTTTGTTACCTGCAGGAGAGAAGTTAGTCAAAACTGTCACATCATGTGTCAGGTCAGAGTTTTGTTACCTGCAGGAGAGAAGTTAGTCAAAACTGTCACATCATGTGTCAGGTCTGTGTTTTGTTACCTGCAGGAGAGAAGTTAGTCAAAACTGTCACATCATGTGTCAGGTCTGTGTTTTGTTACCTGCAGGAGAGAAGTTAGTCAAAACTGTCACATCATGTGTCAGGTCAGAGTTTTGTTACCTGCAGGAGAGAAGTTAGTCAAAACTGTCACATCATGTGTCAGGTCTGTGTTTTGTCACCTGCAGGAGAGAAGTTAGTCAAAACTGTCACATCATGTGTCAGGTCAGAGTTTTGTTACCTGCAGGAGAGAAGTTAGTCAAAACTGTCACATCATGTGTCAGGTCAGAGTTTTGTTACCTGCAGGAGAGAAGTTAGTCAAAACTGTCACATCATGTGTCAGGTCAGAGTTTTGTTACCTGCAGGAGAGAAGTTAGTAAAAACTGTCACATCATGTGTCAGGTCAGAGTTTTGTTACCTGCAGGAGAGAAGTTAGTCAAAACTGTCATGTGTCAGGTCAGAGTTTTGTTACCTGCAGGAGAGAAGTTAGTAAAAACTGTCACATCATGTGTCAGGTCAGTGTTTTGTGTGCTGTGTTTGGTCAGTGTTAAATCAAATGTGTGGTCAGTGTTGTGTATAGTTAATGTGGTGTGTGTGGTTAATATAGTGTGTGTGGTCAGTGTGGTGTGTGGTCAGTGTGGTGTGTGTGGTCAGTGTGGTGTGTGTGGTCAGTGAGGTGTGTGTGTGGTCAGTGTGGTGTGTGTGTGTGGTCAGTGTGGTGTGTGTGGTCAGTGTGGTGTGTGTGGTCAGTGTGGTGTGCATGTCGTTAATGTAGTGTGTGTGTGTGTGGTTAATGTGGTGTGTGTGTGGTCAGTGTGGTGTGAGTGGTCAGTGTGGTGTGTATGGTTAATGTGGTGTGTGTGGTCAGTGTGTGGTGTGGTCACTGTGGCGGGTGTGTGTGAGTGGTGTGTGGTTAGTGTGGTGTGTGTGGTCAGTGTGGTGTGTGTGTCTTGAGTGAGGTCAGTGTGGTTTGTGTAGTGTGTGTGTGGTTAATGTGGTGTGTGTGTGGTATGTGTGGTCAGTGTGGTGTGTGTGAGGTCAGTGAGGTGTGTGTGGTTAGTGTGTTCAGTGTGGTGTTTGTGTGGTTAATGTGGTGTGTTTGTGGTCAGTGTGGTGTGTGTGGTCAGTGTGGTGTTTGTGGTTAGTGTGTTCAGTGTGGTGTGTGTGGTTAGTGTGGTCAGTGTGGTCAGTGTGGTGTGTGTGGTTAGTGTGGTCAGTGTGGTCAGTGTGGTGTGTGTGGTCAGTGTGGTGTTTGTGGTTAGTGTGGTGTGTGTGGTCAGTGTGGTGTGTGTGGTTAGTGTGTTCAGTGTGGTGTGTGTGGTTAGTGTGGTCAATGTGGTGTGTGTGTTCAGTGTGGTGTGTGTGGTCAGTGTGGTGTGTGTGGTCAGTGTGGTGTGTATGAGGTCAGTGTGGTGTGTGTGAGGTCAGTGTGGTGTGTGTGATCAGTGGGGTGTGTGTGGTTTGTGTAGTGTGTGTGGTTAATGTGGTGTGTGTGGTCAGTGTGGTGTGTGGTTAATATGGTGTGTGTGTGGTCTGTGTAGTCTATGGTCAGTGTGTGGTGTGTGTGATTAGTGTAGTGTGTGTGGTTAGTGTGGTGTGCGTGGTCAGTGTGGTGTGTGTGTGGTCAGTGTGGATTGAGTATGTGGTCAGTGGTGTGTGTGTGGTCAGTGTGGTGTGTGTGGTCAATGTTGTCTGTGTGTTAGGTCAGCGTGTAGTGCATGTGGTGTGTGTGGTCAGTGTGGTGTGTGTGGTTAGTGTGGTCAGTGTGGTGTGTGTGAGGTCAGTGTGGTGTGTGTGAGGTCAGTGTGGTGTGTGTGATCAGCATGGTGTGGTGTGATCAGCGTGGTGTGGTGTGTGTGTGGTCAGTGTGGTGTGTGTGGTCAGCGTGGTGTGGTGTGTGTGTGTGGCGAGTGAGGTCAAAGTGTGACTGACCTGGATCTGGAGCTGCTGGAGACACGCCTGCAGCACGTCACTTGCCTGGGTCTGGTTGGTGATGTTAAGTTCACACACCTGTAACAGACTCTGGGGGGGAGGGGGGGGGTGGGAGACATTTAATGACACTGGTTGGTGATGCTAAGTTCACACACCTGTAACAGACTCTGGGGGGGAGGGGGGGTGGGAGACATTTAATGACACTGGTTGGTGATGCTAAGTTCACACACCTGTAACAGACTCTGGGGGGAGGGGGAGACATTTAATGACACTGGTTGGTGATGCTAAGTTCACACACCTGCAACAGATTCTGGGGGGAGGGGAGGTGGGAGACATTTAATGACACTGGTTGGTGATGCTAAGTTCACACACCTGTAACAGACTCTGGGGGGGGGGGGGGGGGAGACATTTAATGACACTGGTTGGTGATGCTAAGTTCACACACCTGTAACAGACTCTGGGGGGGGGGGGAGACATTTAATGACACTGGTTGGTGATGCTAAGTTCACACACCTGTAACAGACTCTGGGGGGAGGGGGGGGGGGGGGGGTGGGAGACATTTAATGACACTGGTTGGTGATGCTAAGTTCACACACCTGTAACAGACACTGGGGGGGGGGAGAGACATTTAATGACACTGGTTGGTGATGCTAAGTTCACACACCTGTAACAGACTCTGGGGGGAGGGGAGGGGGGGAGACATTTAATGACACTGGTTGGTGATGCTAAGTTCACACACCTGCAACAGACTCTAAACGTAGGGGGGGAGGGGGGGGGAGACATTTAATGACACTGGTTGGTGATGCTAAGTTCACACACCTGTAACAGACTCTGGGGGGAGGGGGGGGGGGGGTGGGAGACATTTAATGACACTGGTTGGTGATGCTAAGTTCACACACCTGTAACAGACTCTGGGGGGAGGGGGGGGGGGTGGGAGACATTTAATGACACTGGTTGGTGATGCTAAGTTCACACACCTGTAACAGACTCTGGGGGGAGGGGGGGGGGGTGGGAGACATTTAATGACACTGGTTGGTGATGCTAAGTTCACACACCTGTAACAGACTCTGGGGGGAGGGGGGGGGGGAGACATTTAATAACACTGGTTGGTGATGCTAAGTTCACACACCTGTAACAGACTCTGGGGGGGGGGAGACATTTAATGACACTGGTTGGTGATGCTAAGTTCACACACCTGCAACAGACTCTGGGCGGGGCGGGGGGGGGGCATTTAATGACACTGGTTGGTGATGCTAAGTTCACACACCTGCAACAGACTCTGGGCGGGGGGGGGGGGGGGGAGACATTTAACAAATGAGTGGCACCCCTGGTGATGCTAAGTTCACACACCTGTAACAGACTCTGGCGGGGGGGGGGGGGGGGGAGACATTTAATGACACTGGTTGGTGATGCTAAGTTCACACACCTGCAACAGACTCTGGGCGGGGCGGGGGGGGGGGGGCATTTAATGACACTGGTTGGTGATGCTAAGTTCACACACCTGCAACAGACTCTGGGCGGGGGGGGGGGGGGGAGACATTTAACAAATGAGTGGCACCCCTGGTGATGCTAAGTTCACACACCTGTAACAGACTCTGGCGGGGGGGGGGGGGGGGGGGAGACATTTAATGACACTGGTTGGTGATGCTAAGTTCACACACCTGCAACAGACTCTGGGGGGAGGGGGGGGGAGACATTTAATGACACTGGTTGGTGATGCTAAGTTCACACACCTGCAACAGACTCTGGGGGGAGGGGGGGGAGACATTTAATGACACTGGTTGGTGATGCTAAGTTCACACACCTGTAACAGACTCTGGGCGGGGGGGGGGGGAGACATTTAACAAATGAGTGGCACCCCTGGTGATGCTAAGTTCACACACCTGCAACAGGGGGGGGGGGGAGACATTTAATGACATCAAACATCTTGTGCCAACCATAACATCAAACATCTTGGGCCAACCATGACATCAAACATCATGTGCCAACCATCAGACACACACCAGTAGGTACTCACATTGGGCACGTCTTTGATTGTAACTTTGAGCTGAGCTGTTTCCCCTTCCTCTTGGCATTTTTCTGCTGTGATGTGTCTGCAACAAGCAACAACCTGTTAGCACAATGTGTCTGCAACAAGCAACAACCTGTTAGCACAATGTGTCTGCAACAAGCAACAACCTGTTAGCACAATGTGTCTGCAATAAGCAACAATCTGTTAGCACAATGTGTCTGCAACAAGCAACAACCTGTTAGCACAATGTGTCTGCAACAAGCAACAACCTGTTAGCACAATGTGTCTGCAACAAGCAACAACCTGTTAGCACAATGTGTCTGCAACAAGCAACAACCTGTTAGCACAATGTGTCTGCAACAAGCAACAACCTGTTAGCACAATGTGTCTGCAACAAGCAACAATCTGTTAGCACAATGTGTCTGCAACAAGCAACAACCTGTTAGCACAATGTGTCTGCAACAAGCAACAACCTGTTAGCACAATGTGTCTGCAACAAGCAACAACCTGTTAGCACAATGTGTCTGCAACAAGCAACAACCTGTTAGCACAATGTGTCTGCAACAAGCAACAACCTGTTAGCACAATGTGTCTGCAACAAGCAACAATCTGTTAGCACAATGTGTCTGCACACTTACTCGCTAAAGTTCTTGACCCCCCCCCACTTACTCGCTAAGCTTCTTGAGGCCCCCCCCACTTACTCGCTAAGCTTCTTGAGCCCCCCCCCCCCACTTACTCGCTAAAGTTCTTGACCCCCCCCCCACTTACTCGCTAAGCTTCTTGAGGCCCCCCCCACTTACTCGCTAAGCTTCTTGAGGCCCCCCCCCACTTACTCGCTAAAGTTCTTGAGCCCCCCCCCCCCCACTTACTCGCTAAGCTTCTTGAGCCCCCCCCCACTTACTCGCTAAGCTTCTTGAGCCCCCCCCCCCCCCCACTTACTCGCTAAGCTTCTTGAGGCCCCCCCCCCCCCCACTTACTCGCTAAGCTTCTTGAGCCCCCCCCCCACTTACTCGCTAAACTTCTTGAGCCCCCCCCCCCCCCACTTACTCGCTAAGCTTCTTGAGCCCCCCCCCCCCCCCCACTTACTCGCTAAGCTTCTTGAGCCCCCCCCCCCACTTACTCGCTAAACTTCTTGAGCCCCCCCCCCCCCCCACTTACTCGCTAAGCTTCTTGAGCCCCCCCCCCCCACTTACTCGCTAAACTTCTTGAGCCCCCCCCCCCACACTTACTCGCTAAGCTTCTTGAGCCCCCCCCCCCACTTACTCGCTAAGCTTCTTGAGCCCCCCCCCCCCCCACTTACTCGCTAAACTTCTTGAGCCCCCCCCCCCCCACTTACTCGCTAAGCTTCTTGAGCCCCCCCCCCCACTTACTCGCTAAGCTTCTTGAGGCCCCCCCCCCCCACTTACTCGCTAAGCTTCTTGAGCCCCCCCCCCACTTACTCGCTAAGCTTCTTGAGCCCCCCCCACTTACTCGCTAAACTTCTTGAGCCCCCCCTTCCCCCCACTTACTCGCTAAGCTTCTTGAGCCCCCCCCACTTACTCCCTAAGCTTCTTGAGCCCCCCCCCCCACTTACTCGCTAAGCTTCTTGAGGCCCCCCCCCCACTTACTCGCTAAGCTTCTTGAGCCCCCCCCCCCCCCCACTTACTCGCTAAAGTTCTTGACCCCCCCCACTTACTCGCTAAGCTTCTTGAGCCCCCCCCCCCCCACTTACTCGCTAAGCTTCTTGAGCCCCCCCCCCCCCCCCACTTACTCGCTAAGCTTCTTGAGCCCCCCCCCCACACTTACTCGCTAAGCTTCTTGAGCCCCCCCCCCCCCCACTTACTCGCTAAGCTTCTTGAGGCCCCCCCCCCCACTTACTCGCTAAAGTTCTTGACCCCCCCCCCCCCACACTTACTCGCTAAGCTTCTTGAGCCCCCCCCCCCACTTACTCGCTAAGCTTCTTGAGCCCCCCCCCCCACTTACTCGCTAAAGTTCTTGAGCCCCCCCCCCCACTTACTCGCTAAAGTTCTTGAGCCCCCCCCCCCCCCCACTTACTCGCTAAGCTTCTTGAGCCCCCCCCCCCCCCACTTACTCGCTAAGCTTCTTGAGCCCCCCCCCCACTTACTCGCTAAAGTTCTTGAGCCCCCCCCCTCCCCCCACTTACTCGCTAAGCTTCTTGAGCCCCCCCCCCCACTTACTCGCTAAAGTTCTTGAGCCCCCCCCCCCCACACTTACTCGCTAAAGTTCTTGAGCCCCCCCCCCCCCCCCCACTTACTCGCTAAACTTCTTGAGCCCCCCCCCCCACACTTACTCGCTAAAGTTCTTGAGCCCCCCCCCCCCACTTACTCGCTAAGCTTCTTGAGCCCCCCCCCCCACTTACTCGCTAAAGTTCTTGACCCCCCCCCCCCCCTCCCCACACTTACTCGCTAAACTTCTTGAGCCCCCCCCCCCCACTTACTCGCTAAGCTTCTTGAGCCCCCCCCCCCCCCACTTACTCGCTAAGCTTCTTGAGCCCCCCCCCCCACTTACTCGCTAAAGTTCTTGAGCCCCCCCCCCTCCCCCCACTTACTAGCTAAGCTTCTTGAGCCCCCCCCCCCACTTACTCGCTAAAGTTCTTGAGCCCCCCCCCCCCCCCACTTACTCGCTAAGCTTCTTGAGCCCCCCCCCCCCCCACACTTACTCGCTAAGCTTCTTGAGCCCCCCCCCCCCCACTTACTCGCTAAGCTTCTTGAGCCCCCCCCCCCCCACTTACTCGCTAAGCTTCTTGAGCCCCCCCCCCCACTTACTCGCTAAGCTTCTTGAGCCCCCCCCCCACTTACTCGCTAAACTTCTTGAGCCCCCCCCCCCCACTTACTCGCTAAGCTTCTTGAGCCCCCCCCCCCCCACTTACTCGCTAAGCTTCTTGAGCCCCCCCCCCCCCACTTACTCGCTAAGCTTCTTGAGCCCCCCCCCCCCCACTTACTCGCTAAGCTTCTTGAGCCCCCCCCCCCACTTACTCGCTAAGCTTCTTGAGCCCCCCCCCCCCACTTACTCGCTAAGCTTCTTGAGCCCCCCCCCCCCACTTACTCGCTAAGCTTCTTGAGCCCCCTACTTACTCGCTAAGCTTCTTGAGCCCCCCCCCCCACTTACTCGCTAAGCTTCTTGAGCCCCCCCCCCCCACTTACTCGCTAAGCTTCTTGAGCCCCCCCCCCCCCACTTACTCGCTAAGCTTCTTGAGCCCCCCCCCCCCCACTTACTCGCTAAGCTTCTTGAGCCCCCACCCCCCCCCCCACTTACTCGCTAAGCTTCTTGAGCCCCCCCCCCCACTTACTCCCTAAGCTTCTTGAGCCCCCCCCCCCACTTACTCGCTAAGCTTCTTGAGCCCCCCCCCCCACTTACTCGCTAAAGTTCTTGACCCCCCCCCCACTTACTCGCTAAGCTTCTTGAGCCCCCCCCCCCCCCACTTACTCGCTAAGCTTCTTGAGCCCCCCCCCCCCACTTACTCGCTAAAGTTCTTGAGCCCCCCCCCCCCACTTACTCGCTAAGCTTCTTGAGCCCCCCCCCCCCACACTTACTCGCTAAGCTTCTTGAGCCCCCCCCCCCCCCCCACACTTACTCGCTAAGCTTCTTGAGCCCCCTCCCCCCACTTACTCGCTAAAGTTCTTGAGCCCCCCCCCCCCACTTACTCGCTAAGCTTCTTGAGCCCCCCCCCCCCCACACTTACTCGCTAAGCTTCTTGAGCCCCCCCCCCCCCCCACACTTACTCGCTAAGCTTCTTGAGCCCCCTCCCCCCACTTACTCGCTAAAGTTCTTGAGCCCCCCCCCCCCACTTACTCGCTAAGCTTCTTGAGCCCCCCCCCCCCCCACACTTACTCGCTAAGCTTCTTGAGCCCCCCCCCCCCCCACTTACTCGCTAACCTTCTTGAGCCCCCCCCCCCCCCCCACACTTACTCGCTAAGCTTCTTGAGCCCCCCCCCCCCCACACTTACTCGCTAAGCTTCTTGAGCCCCCCCCCCCCCCACTTACTCGCTAACCTTCTTGAGCCCCCCCCCCCCACACTTACTCGCTAAGCTTCTTGAGCCCCCCCCCCCCCCCCCACACTTACTCGCTAAGCTTCTTGAGGCCCCCCCCACTTACTCGCTAAACTTCTTGAGCCCCCCCCCCCCCACACTTACTCGCTAAAGTTCTTGAGCCCCCCCCCCACTTACTCGCTAAGCTTCTTGAGCCCCCC